CTTGTTTTTTCCATTACCCTTCACCGAATGTCACCACCGGGCATCTGAATCTCTTGGGTGACTAGGCAGTTCATCAAAATGTAAGTAGCATTTATTGGGAAGTAGGAAAGACGTACATTTTTGTGCATATTCGAGTTGTCAAAGAAAAAGTAGAATGCATGGTAAAAGAAGGAACGGGGGAATATTGAGGCAATTTTTCGTGCCTTTTATTTCGGTCAGTGACGCAAAAAAACAGAATTGATTTTGAAATTCTAATTAAAAATATACTTGTAGTGAAAAATAAAGATATCACAGCATTTAGTTGAAAAATTAGTAATTGTTTCTAAATTTTAATTCTATACTAATAAATTACATTAATTTATAAATTTTACTCGCTTATTTCTATCAATACACGCAGCAATGCTTACTTGTTCCGCTTTGTGAGTAATTTTTTATTAGTGGTACTGTGACGAAATTAATGTACTATTATTGATTTAACTATTTTAAAATAGATTTTTTTTTACTACTCTGCAAAAGTTATTTAAAAATTCATAAACCTTGCTTTATTCTAGTTATTATGTGAGCCTTAAAAAATGCTTGGATATGAACCAAAATATTTCAGAACTAACTTTCTTTATTTAGTTTATTAAAAATGATTTTAAAACATTTAAAATTATTTTAATTTTAAAGACATTGAGATTTTAATTTTNGCCTTAAAAAATGCTTGGATATGAACCAAAATATTTCAGAACTAAGTTTCTTTATTTAGTTTATTAAAAATGATTTTAAAACATTTAAAATTATTTTAATTTTAAAGAGTATGTATATACATATATAGCAGGTTTTAGGTATTTCCGACAAAATACGAATTTTTTAAAAAATATTCCTTCAATATTTCTTGAAATTTCCTTTATTTTTTTCAAGTTCTGACATCCCCTCTTTTCTGTATTGAAAATTTCAAATGCTTCTTCTTTATCATTTTTTTTAAAAATGAATTTAATCCAAGATAAAAGTACAGACATACTATTGCCGTGATTCTACAAACAGGAACCTTTCTCACAAGTCTAAACACTAAATGATACTAGAAAATAAAAAGACACAGGCGGTTCAACCAAGTTCAAGTGGTTAAACCATTTGGGAAAGAAAAGTTTAAACAAGATAATAGAAAAGGAAGATAAAAAATGGGTGTGATGTGGGTTGGTGGGAACCTCAGGACGCGAAAGATTAAATAAGAATAGATTTTCAATTAATAGGTATCAGTGCCATACTAGAAAGATAATTATTAGAATTTCTTAAACTATGGAATTTATTCCCTGAATTGAAGCTCAGTTTATGACAGTGTTAAATTTTTTTAGTAGAAAAAAAAAACCTTGAGTAAAGTTTCAATTATGCTGGGCGATAGAAGATCGGTTAACACCTTTATCTCAGACATATTTTTCTTGTCCTGGAAGGATACATTTAGATTATGTTTCCGTACAAACATAAAGTGTGTACGCAAAGCTACATTGACACGAAATTTGCTAAATTCTCCAACTGTTAATATCTGCAATAGGGTCTTTAGAGTTGGTGAAACTTGGATTAAGTTTGAATTTTTTTCCTACC